TGTCATGTGAGGGCTCATGTGGCTTCTTCAAAAACATTCAGCGAATTTGTTGTCTGGTCAGAATCACCGCGGACAACAGAACTAACACTTCGCTCTCGACCTTCCGCAAGCAGCGCAGGCTCAAAACGTGCAAATCAAATAATTTGAAAAACCCTCTTCGTGGTCTCACGAAAAGGGCTAAACAAAACGAAATTATGACGACTGAATAGAGTGGTTTCGTTAACCAATCCTACATCTTGACGAAGGTGAAAAAAATCATTTGAAAAAAACGTTTTCGAAATGTGCATTTGTTAATGGTGGTTGAGGGACCGTGGGTCGTGTTTTCGTATTCGGGACGGACCTTCGTGTCACGCGGAAAGCCTGAATATTTACGTGATTGGTTATAAAATATGGAAAACGCCTCGAATGCTCTAGACACGAGGATTAGAATAGGACCGTAATAATAAGACAGAATGGGTGAAAAGGGGGTACGGATTCATGCCCATGTCAGCGCGCATGCAAAAATGCCAAGTGGACAGGGGTACCAGCTGGCTGTCGCCCCCCCGGTCCGTCGTGATTACGTCGGATCGCCCTGGCAAGCGCGTATTGGCCGGGCAATTCCAAGCACAATTTCCGGGGAATTTCCGAGCTCGCCCTCACGGGTTGGTTGGCGACGCTCGCATGCTGCGATCGCACCCAATTCGGGTGGCGCGACTCGATGGTCGGTGGCATTATGCGACTGTCGTGCTTGGTCACAATGTTTTATTGCGCCTTTTTAGCGAAGTCTAACAGTAGATGTATATATCAGAAAGAGAATGATTGAACTACAATGTGTGTGTACAAGGATATATAGACTAGGGTGTTGTACCCTCTAAGGCACAATCCAGTATAGTCTACAGTAACGACCTAAGTTACATTTGACACACCCCCTAGACTATATAGGGGCAGTGCCTAACAAGGAAAGAAGCAGCTCAGGGCGGCACTACTAGTCCAGCCTCTGAGACAAGGGTCTAAAGACCAGTCAAAAGGAGTACAGACAAGGCAAGAGCAAGCCCAGGGCGGCACTACTAGTCCAGCCACTGGGAGAGGCCACAAGGCCAGTCTGGATAAAATATATATATAAAAGACAGTACAAAGTCAAGGCTTTAGCAAGTGAGAGGCTACAGGAACGAGACCCAGCTGTACACAGTGCCGCTGATGATCTTTAGGCGCGCCTTCGTAAAGATATCAGCTGTGTTGGCACCGGAGGCCAAGTGTACTACGCGTGCCTGGCGACCCTGCTGCAGCTCACGCAGGAGGAAGTACCGCAGCTGAATATGCTTCGCTCTGCCCTCGAGTTGAGGCTCCTGACACAGGAGGATCATGGCCCTGTTGTGTGCGTACACGACCGGGGCAGAGCTAGGCCGCTCACCTAAGTCAGTGAGCAAGAAGGTCAGCCAGCGGAGCTCCTGTGCCGCCATGGCACCGGCGTAGATCTCGGCCTCACAGCTGGACTGGGCAACAGACGAGGAGCGGGTAGCTCTCCACGAGACGGCACCTGAACCAAGGCTGAAGCAGTAGCCCTATGAGGACCTGAGGGTCTCGGCGTCGTCTGCCCAAGAAGCGTCTGTGTGTCCAGTAAGGACCACTGGCCTACGTCCTCCTAGCACTAATGCCATGCCCGATGTACTTGCAAGATAACGCAAAACCCTCTTAGCAGCAGACCAGTGCTGAGGTCGGTGTCTGCCTGTAGCGACAAAGCGAGCCAGGATGCTGAGAGGGTATGCGAGATCTGGGCGCGTGCAAGTTATCAGGTACATGAGGCAACCCACCAGCTCTGCGTAAGGACCACTGGGCTCTGCTGAATCCTCAGGAACTGGAGCGGAGAGCCTGTGGTCTAGAGGCAGAGGAGTAGGCTGTGCGGAGGAGAACTGAAGACCAAACCTCTGAAGGACCTGGTGCACCAAGTGTGACTGAGTCAAGGTGATGGTGCGGGCTGCTCTGTCCCTGGAGATTTGCAAGCCAAGGTAGTGGCACAGTTCTCCAAGGTCAGTGCAGGTGTGTCTCTTCAGCAGCTGTGCCTTCACGGAGGCCAGTGCATCCCTATCTGCCATGGCAAATACCAGGTCGTCTACGTAAACACGGAGTCTGGCCAGAACGAACGAAGAACGAGGGGTCTGTAGAAGACGGAAAGAATTGCAGGTTAGCAAGCGTAGCACGCAGCGTGTCGTGCCACTCACGGGGAGCCTGCCGCAGGCCGTAGACGGGGTGCCGGAGGAGCCACTGGGTCCCAGGAGGGAAAGTACCAGTGAAGTCCTGAGGGCGACGCAGGTAGACCTGCTCGTGTAGACTGCCCTGAAGAAACGCAGTGGAGAAGTCGAGGGAGTGAAGCTCGTAGTCACGCTGCGCTGCTACGTGTAGTAGCACCCGAAGAGTAGTCATCTTCGGGGTCGGAGCAAAGGTCTGGAAGAAGTCCACCCCCTCAAGCTGACTGAAACCTCTAGCCACGTAGCGCGCCTTGAACACAGGCGGCTCTCCAGGGGGGCACTTCACCTTGAAGAGCCAGCGGCCATCGACTACGTTCACCCCAGGTGGGGGAACTGCGTCGACGTAGGTGCCGGTGGATCTCCAAGATGCCATCTCTTGCTCCATGGCAGCTAACCACTGAGAGGCCTAGGGTCCCGAAACCGCCTCAGCATAAGTGCGAGGGGTCAGGGGCTAGAAGCGATGGGGAGCAGCCTCGGACAGGAAAGCAAGCTCGTACTGACGGTCCTCCAGGACGTCACTACCAAGGGCAGGAGCACCCCCAACAGACGGAGGACAGGCAGGGTCAGAGACCAGAGCGGTGGCGTAGTCAAGGCGGCGGGTAGAGGCGAAGTCAACGACCGCAGCAAAAAGGGCGTCAAGGCTCGAAATTGGAACAGACGGGTCGGTAACGAGAGAGGCAAGGACCCGAGGAACAAGAGGACGAGCGGCACGCAGGTTGTCAGATAGAGGGGGGGGAGCAACGACCAGGGAGGATGGAGGGAGCGACGGGGGAAGGGGAGAACGAGACGCGTGGGAACGAAGCAACATAGGGTGAGAGCGCGAGACAGGGGAGACAGGTCGATCACGGAAGGGTCGGCGAGACCAGGCGTGAGACGGTGGAGGCGGGTCAGGAGACAGAGGAGGGGACACAAGAGGGGAATGAGGGGGGAAACGGGCCGGAGACGCGTCCGGAGGAGGGAACACAGGGGCGGAGACAGGAGGAGGAGGAGGCACGGGCACGGGGTCAGGGGACGGAAGGCCAAGCATGCAAAGAGTGGACACCGGCGGGGACTGCTGTGACGGCGGTGTGACGCCGACACCGGGACCGCAAGCTGCCGGGCGGCTACCTCCAGAACACTCCACACCAGCACCCCCAGAAGAAACACCCCCAGAGCTCAGAACCCCTCGAGCACCGGTACCACCCCCAGGCCCGCCGGGACAAGCCACGACAGGAGTCCCAAGACTAGTACCCACCCCAACTCCAGCACCCCCAGAGGCAACCAACTACTGCGGCGACGGCTGCGGTGGCGGCGGTCGCAACGATGGCTGCTGCGACGGCGGCGGCAGTGACGACAGCTGCTACAGCGGTGGCGACTGCGGTTGCGGAGGCGGCGGAGGAGGAGACACCTAAGAAGGGGCAAGCGACGAGGTTTGGGCCGCAGGACTACCAGAGTCAGTAGACTACTCAACCGGTACAACCGACGTAAGTGGGGTGATGTGGGACACACGAGAGGGGGCAGGACGGGGAGGGGGAGGAGGAGGGGCGGCGACGACCGGGGAAGGGGTGACCAGGAACAGGGGGGGTGTAACAGGGGGACCTCGGTGGGGGAAGCGGCGGAACAAGGAGACCGACTCGTCAAAGGTGACGTCACGGGAATGAAAGAACATGTGAGACGGCGGGTGGTAGAAGTGCCAGTCAGATGCGTCAAGGGGGAAGCCGAGGAAGACATAGGGAAGGGTGCGGGTAGTGAGCTTGTCCGTGCCAAAGGCACGAACGTGAGCAAGACAGCCCAGACGTGGAACGCAGATGCGTCACCAGGTGACCCAGACTAAAGGAGGGTCGGCGAAACCTGAGGCTGCTGGGGGTGCGGCCACAGGTTAAGCTGGTGAGTGGCGTAGCGAACGGCGAACGGCCACAGAAAATGGGGTGCACCGGCATGGATCATGGAGGTGCGAGCCACCTCCATGACCAAACCGATGCGTCGCTCAGCAACCCCATTCTGCTGCGGGGATTCCGGCAAGGTGAATGTCTGGGTGATGCCCTCCGCACGACAGAAACGGCCATGGACACCAGAGGCAAACTCGCCACCACGGTCGGAGTGGAGACACAAGACAGGGAGACTGCGGTGAACACGCGCAGAGACAAGCCACGGGATAAGAACGGTAGGCACGTCGGCCTTCCGCTACAGGGGGAACACAGTGGTGTAGCGCGTGTAGTCGTTGACAAGCACTAGGAAGTAGCGCTCTCGATGCGGCCCATGGACAGGGGCGGGGCCCGAGACGCGAACGACCAGGGGGGCGGCTAGGGACGAGCGTGAACGGCCAGGGGGGCGGCTAGGGACGGGCGCGGACGGCCAGGGGGCCGGCTAGGGACGGGCTCGAACGGCTAGGGGGCCGGCTAGGGACGGGCGCGAACGGCCAGGGGGCCGGCTAGGGACGAGCGCGACGGCTAGGGGGCCGTCTAGGAACGTAGGGGCGGAAGCGTGAGCGGGCTAGGGGGGGATCTAACCTACTATGATACCATATCCGAATGAGAATGATTGAACTAGAATGTGTGTGTACAAGGATATATAGACTAGGGTGTTGTACCCTCTAAGGCACAATCCAGTATAGTCTACAGTAACGACCTAAGTTACATATGACAGTATACCGTATAGACGGAGTACATAGTGGTGGCGTCTATCAAATTCTAGACCTTGGAGTATTATATGGAGTAAAATGTCACGGACCTAATTGCATACCCGCTGTAAATGTTGTTTCAGGGCTGATGCTCGTTATGACGCTGAAACGTCAGTGTCTACACCAAAAAACACTCTGAAAACACAGAGTTGGTACATAAAAAGATACTGAAAAATCAGCAAAATCAGGAGAAAATTCCTGAAATCTCAGGGCCTGGGCGGAAGCGCGACAGCTAGGAGCTAACCTAGCTTGATACCATATCGAGAGAACAGTTGACCAGGCAAGGCAACACACTTGAGGATATCTAAGTGTTGTACCCTATATAACCTGAACCCTAGCAAGGCTATAGTTCATATATATTCCTAACCTAACACATATATGAACGCTAACAGTCGGTCCCCAATATATGACAGTAAATGGCATCGAGTAACATGCTGCATCAAACTAGGATGACTTCCAGGCGCGGGCAGGGTGTGGCCTCAATGTAGTCCTGCAGCTGCCTGTCTCGGCGGAAGGCCCCGCTGCCATGGAGCACCATCTCCTGTGACGACTCCAGAGGGTACACGCGGAACACCCTCACCTGCGTTGCGCCGCCCGCCGACAGCGCGTCGGGGCGGTGGCCGTGCCAGAGGGGGCGGTAGGCGAGCCCGTGGTACAGGCGGTAGATGGCGCGCATCAGATGCGCCATGGTCAGCTCTGACGCGCTGGGGGAGGGCGAGGGAAGACGTGGGGGGGGAGGGGGGATGTGGAGATCAACAGAGGCATGCACAGATATGAAGCGGTGACGAGGCAATGAGTTTTGGCTTACGGACGAGCACAGGCACATGCGTACACAAAGGCAGGCATGCACCCATGAGCAATGCTTAAGCACGCCACATGCAAAGGCGCTTCTGCGTACATCGTGGTGTGCTTGTGCTTGAAAAGATGAGAGGATTTAAGGTATGCAGTTCCATGCATATGCTAGAGTGTGAAGGAGCTCACTTGAGGAAGAAGGAAAGAAAGGGAAAGGTGCCGCGCTCGCGCACGTAGAGGTGGTAAAGCGTGGTGTTGGTGGCCTCGTCCCAGCAGCGACACACCTTGCGAGTGCTGCTCTCGTCCCATGCCACCAGGTGCTGCCATTCCACGGGGCAACAGCACACACAATCAGTGCTATTCACTCACACGGCCACATGGGCCACAGCTGAGGAGGGCGGCTTGGTGTGGAGCAGACAGAAGCCCGGGCAGACTGGCGTCCAGAGAGGGAGGAAAGAAGGTGGTAACAGGAAGCTGAATCCGCATCCCGACAGCAATCGACCACATGCACAGTCATATGCGTGACACTGATGGCAACATGGCAGCACACATACCATGGTGAGAGCATGGCAGCACATACCATGGTGAGAGCATGGTTCAAAATACGGATTCCGAAAAATACGGTCCGTTTTTTCGGTCATTTAGGGAAAAAAACGTCTTTAAAATAGAACATTTCGTTTTTTTGTTTTGTTTTTGTTTTTGTTTTTTTTTCGTTCGCCAAAACGCGAGTTCCCGCAAATTTTAGGGGTCAAAATGCCAGATCCGCGCGTTTCGGCAGGCGAAATGGCAAATCCGGGCGTTTTGCAGGGTTTTTTTTTTTTTTTTTTTTTTTTTTTTTGGGGGGGGGGGGGGGGGGGGGGGGGGGGGAATACGGCCGTTTTTCTGCACCAGTAGAAAAAAAATAGCTCCAGACCGTTTTTAACCGTCTTAGATGGCCGAAAAATACGACACCGTATTATACGGGAAAACAAAAAAAATACGGCCGTTTTTTGCACCTTGGGTGAGAGCATGGCAGGGGACACACCTTGGTCGTGAGATGTAAAAAGTTTAATAGCAAACTCTAAAAGTCACTCTCTACCTTCTTATTCACGCAACACCATAGTTTTTCCGAAATGCGCTACGAGCTCCCCTATTGGGAATTCCCCCAAGGGTGCGCTCTACCAGCTGAGTCTTTAACTGTCCAGCTTGCACGGGAGGTTGTTCGCCCACCTCTGGCGAAATCCTCATCTCGTCACCAACTACACTACAAGTCTTTGCTTTCATTCATCCAATACAAAATGTTTGTGGTAACAGCGGACACACCTTGGTGGCGAGGTGCAGGCAGAGGCGGCAGTGCGGCGAGACGATGGGGAGGTCCAGCAGGGCGAGGAAGGCGTCGGAGGGCACGTCGGCCTTCCACCGCGTCATCTCGCTGTAGGCGCGCTGCGAGCGCAGCAGGTACCCCACCCACTCCACCACCTGCCGCACCTCGTCGCCCCGCCCCACCTGGGGGCAGGCGGCAGCAGGCAGCACGCAGGGGAAGGGAAGGGAGGAAGGAAGACCGAGGAGGCATGAGAGGTGGGAGCAACGGAGAGGGTAAGGCATAGAAGAAGGACGAGCAGATGGTTGCATTGCAGTCCATGCAGGAATGATTGTGGAAAAAGCAATTCCGCCATGGGTGCAGCACCTGCAGGAAGGCGTTATCAGCAGGGGCGAACATGGCAATGCTGCCTTTGGCCACCACGATGGGCACCGTGCCGCATGCCAACGCTGCCCAGAAGTGTGGCGACATGGCGTGCAGCGGCGCGAGCTCCTCAAACAGCAAGGCGAAGCGGTGGCCGCACAGCCGCTGCTGCGCTGCCAGGGGCGTGGCGTGGTGGGCGTCGGACGCAGGCAGGCAGGAGCCCAGCGGGTGCACGGGCACTCCCTGGCGCGATACCTCTGCTATGAAGTCCAGCCTGCAGGGCGAGGGCAGGCGGAGGGGATGGGTTGGCAGGTGGGGGTAAGTGAGAGGAGGGAGGATGGGAGAGAGAGGAGTGGTTAGTGCCCAAACAATGAGAGGCAAGGAGCAGAAGAAGAGAAGACAGCGATGCAGGTGACGCAAGGCAGACTGAAGCAGACTGAGACTAGAGCCGGCAGTGACTGGGAGACGCGGAGAGAGATGAAGAGGTGTGCGAGAGGCTGACTTGAGTTGGAGGCTGGAGCAGGGGTGGCTGAGGATGGCCACAATGGGCGGTGATGCATGCTTGGGTGTGGGTGGATCCATGAACGCATGGTCCCTCCATGACGGCTGCCCTGCATGCCATGCCATCCCATGCCATGCCATGCCATGCCATGCCGTGCCATGCCATACCATGCCATGCCATGCCATGCCATGCCGTGCCGTGCCGTGCCATGCCGTGCCATAGATGAATGATGGATCTCATGTCACATCTAGCAACACATGCATTTGAGCAAGCACGTTCAGCATGACCAACAGAAGGGCAACAGGTGACATGCAACAGAATGCGGCATCAACTTCACCAGCCCAGTGGGCTCACAGGAGGTCCCACACCGGGCGCCCCAAACAGGGCGTCTATACCCAGCGGCGCATGGCATGGCATCATACCCAGCGGCGCATGGCATGGCATCATACCCAGCGGCACATGGCATGGCATCATACCCAGCGGCCCATGGCATGGCATCATACCCAGCGGCACGGCACATGGCATGGCATCATACCCAGCGGCACATCGGAGCTGAGGCTGGACGTCATGGCCACCACCCTGGACGCGTTCGGCATCACCACCGCCTCGCGCGCCGACCGCTGCCACACCACCTGGTACGCGCACGCAGCGCCCACCTCCGCCGCCACCCCCGGCATCGCCTGCCCTCCCAGCCCCCCTGCCTCCGCCCCGCCCGCCCCCCCCGCTGCACTGCTTGCCTCGTCCCCTCCTGCTGCGGCTGCTGCATCTGCTGGCGGTGCGACCACAGCGGCGTCACAGGCATCGTGGTCCGCTGAGGGGCACAGGCCGAGACGCAGGCAGAGGCGCAGGCAGAGGCGCAGAGAGAGGCGTAGGGAGGGGACAGGGAGGGGGCAGGGAGGGGGCAGGGAGGGGGCAGGGAGTGGACAGGGAAATCGAGAGCGTGACTAGAAGGCGTATTGAGGGGATGGGAGCGAAAAGGGCAGAAAGCAAAAGCCCGTTTGCCAATGAGTGAGGACAGACGGGCCATTCGTGGATGAGCTGGCATCGAATGTGATTCAAGGGAGGGCTCAAGAGGGCGCACGAGGGGAGCGCGTGAAGAGGCAGCCCACAGCGCACCCCCCCACGCGCCTGCTCTCCCCCGCCGCCACCACCACGGGCTGCCGCTGCCAGTCGCGCTGCTCGCTCCCCGCGCCCGTGGGGTCCACCTCCGCCAGCCACGCCGCGCACTGCCGCCCGCGCGGGGGGGGCTGCGCGTCCCCGCGCCAGAGCGAGGGGAGGTCGGGGAGCGGGTCGTCCGTGACGAACTCGATGCTGATGCCGCCGAAGAGGTAGAAGAGCAGGTTCAGCAGCAGCAGCGCCGCCAGCACGCCCAGCAGCACCACCACCTGCCGGCTGAACCGGCTGCTGCCCACGGCCAGCGCCAGGCGCCGCTGCAGCAGCGGCAGCACCTTGCTGCCGCGCAGGTGACGCCCGCCCACGCGCATGAGCCCGCCGGGGAAGAGCATCGGCGGGTGAGTCGCTATGCAGGACTAGATTGAGCCTCGCTTGTGTAACACGCTTGTTTGTAACACACGCTTGAGTGTGACTCGCCAATGGCGGCAAGGCGACGATGGATGGAGGCGAAGGACGCTGGAAAGGTGGTGGTATCTCGACTGCCGACGCGGTGTGGCGCAGCGACTGGCGTCAGGCAACACAGGAGGGAGGAATGGGGTGGGCGGGATAGCGCGCACAATACCACAGGTGATGCAGAGAGAAGGGTGGGATTTTATGGGTCAGGACAAATAGTTATGGGTGGGCTTTTATGGGTGGGCTTTTATGAGCGAACGAGAGATAAAGAGCGGAACTGGTGTAATATGACAAGCTGTAAGAAAATAGGATCTCCTTTACCCAGGTTTTAGCTAGTACAGCGCAAAATGCTATTAATGGGGTTGCCGCGCGGCTCTGCCATGAAAATCAGATTGCGTCACCCAAATGTGGCCCTCTCCCGAGCAGCATGCAGTTTGCACGCTTCGTAGTTTAGTGCCTAAGAAATGCACTCCACGCCAATTTGCAGCCACATGTCCAGCAGGCCTGATGTTTAAAAAAAAAGCCCCCTGAGCTGTCGAATGGAAAAAAAAAAAAAAAATTACCCTGAGGGCCTTGTGTTAAAATTTTGGCTACCCTGATTTCTCAGTGTTCTGGAACATGCAACCCTGAAACCTCCAGGGTTGGCTAGTCACAAACAAGGTTGCATTATGTTGGAAATATCTCAAAGGACTTAAGCGTTTCTGAAGTGTAACACTACACTCGAGGAAGATTACAGGGGGGGAAAGCGAGTCAACGGAGGTTACACGAGGGGGTAGACAAAGAACGCGAAGGAACTCGAAAGGTCGCAACTGGAGGTTGCGACTAACAGTTACAACATCGCGGAAGGTAACCGAAGCGGCAATCGAGTCGCCTGTGCGACTCGATAACCGCTCCTGCAACTATATTCTACAACTGCTTTCTTATTTCCTATATATTGCTGTATGCTTGTTTCTTTAATCAATCACTTGTTCTCATATACTAGTACAAGGGTTCAACTGCCTCAACTTCCGCTGCACTACTCAAGTCTCATTTTACAACTAGGACTTAGTCTCTGGAAAGATCCTAAGGGCTTTTATCAGCCCAACACATTACACATGCAAAAAATCAGTTAAGCGAACGTTAGGATTGTACAATTAGTAGTTTAGCAAAAGCACCACTACGCCAGTCGACAGATTCAGTTAAGTCCTCTATCTAGTCTAGTCTATCTAGACTTCACAAGATTCCACGCCACTAGCTACCCTTGACTAAAATTATGGGCCATCCATGTTCACTTCGTCCTCTGCCTCGTCATCGGACAGAAACGGGTTGTCTTCCACTTCAGGAGGAACCTCTCCCCCCTCTACCCCCTCCTCTCCCTCATCCTCTGCCCAATCCCCCATGTAGTCGGGGACTGCCTCCTCCTCCACCCTCCCTTCTGCCCCCTCAATCGCCTTGGCCTTACGCTTCCTCTCCGCTGAGGCAAACAGAACAGACTTAGCAGGGAGCCTCAGCTTCTCGCGCCAACACTCAAGGGCCTCGTCCCAGTCAATCTCATACTGCAGCAGGGAAATGACCATCAGCTCGCTGAGGCGCGCATTGCACAACGCGCCCCGCACCCATGACTTGAGTATGGCGGCTAACTGGAGCCAAACTCTGGTCATAATCGATGCCATCGGCTTGTTCGAAACCTCGAACGACCCATCTCCCCTTGAATCTCTCTGGTTCGCCTACTGCATTTGTCTTTATGCGAAAGACCCCCTTGCGTGAATGATTTTTCTTGCCGTGTGCTGCTTTGCGGGGAATGAGTTTTCAGGTTTTCCACTTCTCGAGAGCTGCTACCTGTACATCCATAGCTGCTCTCCACTTGTCGGCATCAAAGCCGGAGAGGGCCTACTGGATTGTTTCGTGCTCGATCCAGTCGTTGGTTGCTGAACTGCGACAGCAAGGCCGAGGATTTGAAGAGCCGATTGGTCACTACGAAGATGTGGTTGGCAAACCTCAACGACTTCATCATTGTCAATTTCGGATGGAAGATAGCGGGCACCATCATATGATGCTGTGTTAGTTTTCTGTCGGCGCAGGTGCTTCTCAAAGTTATAGTCAACCTGTGTCGTACCAGAACGCAACGGGTTCGAGAGGGTAATGACGAGTGGAGTGTCTGCGTTGCTGGCACATGTCGAAGGAATATAGGATTCGAACAATGGTTCGGCTGCTGACATAGATGGCTAGGGAAGTGTAGAAGGTCCTGCTGTTGCGCTGTCGGGCGGATAATATTCTTCGGTTGCATCTGCTTTGTTTTGAGGGGTGGCGAAACTCCGTTCGGCACTGTAGCGATCAGGATCCCACTGCTGGCATTCCTTGTCGTATTCGAAGTCGTCGAGAAAGATTTTCTCGTAGAAGATGCATTGTCAGGCATAAAAAACTTTGCGAGTTTTGTAATTCATAATTATTCAAGAATATCGGTACACTGAGGTGTATTCCCCATCGAGCCCGTTCAGTAAATCTGCCCACAGTTGCGCTCGGAGGCCGGTATTGGACCATGCAGCCCCAAACTCGTAGGAGTCGAGTGCCAGTGGGGTGTTTTGTCCATATGACGTGTTGCGAGCTGAACTGAGGTACAGTGATGGAAACAATTGTCCGGATGTTCAGTTTTATTTTGCATTTTGATGAGTGCTGCACCGTAAACATTAAGCCATAATTTATGGTGTGCATACACGTTGAGAAGATCAGTTAGAGCACTCATTGAAGTTGAAAAAACACCAGAGTAGTATAATACATGGTCCTTAAACACCTAAGCATATCATAAGAGCACATCCGGACAATTTGTATCAAGGACAGGCAGCAAACTATAATCATGAAAAACTAGTACCTAGTCCAGCGTCCCTTTGCGCGAAGCACTGCCTTGATCCTCCTCGGCATACTGTCGATGAGGTTTGAACACACCTCCGCCGGTATCTTGTCCCATTCCTCCTGCACCCTGTCCCACAGCTCCTGCATTCCACTAGGAACTTTCCACCTTCGCCGGTAACTTTGGCTACTTTCCTAGTCGAATGCCCTTTGCGCAACATGCTTATGATTCGCGCGCGCTTCTTGTTATCTACTGGCTTCATCGCAATGCGGTCGTAGGTTCGCTTCAGGACTAACTCCTAGACTAGCAGCTGTTGCGCGAGACGATGTGCACACTGAGTGACGTGCGAAAATAGATCTAGAACGTCGCTCGGTACGAACTGTCCGGATTGACAGCCGAGGAGCAAATCTCAACCCCGCTTTTCGGTTGTGTCACAATCGCGCCAAGCAGGATACGGTTGAAGCAGAACTCGACAACCTTGTAACAGGATGGAAGAAAAAAGGTGTTACTATTTTCGAAAAAGGTGTGGCATAGCGATAAGTTTCGAAGTTCTAAACATCCGGGCAATTTTTTCCGCCACTGTAGATCAGTTGAAGACGGGTAGTTGTGCAGTTTGACAGCCTGCGCCATCGCAAACGGCAAAAAATCAGCTTGAATTTGGACTGTTGTAGCAGCACGTGCATCTTCACGTTGTCTGTCTGAATCTCTTTCATCTTGATGCCGCTCTGCCGCTCCGCTATTTTCAGCCATAGTTTGAAGCCTTTGAGGGCTTCCGACTTGTGAGCTAGGTTCTTGTGCCAGACATATCGGGTAGCGCTATCGATGAAGGTAATGATATAGCAGTAGTCATTGCCGTTGTTATCCTCTACTTCCTGCGGCATGAAAAGGATGTCACTGAAATTTACGTCCATACGTGAGTACTTAGCAGCACTCGAAAAGTGCGACGGAAACGGAGCGTGAATCTGGTGAGCGCCGGGGTAGATGGTGCAGGGTAGTTGGCGACTGCTAGGTCGAAGTTCTTGGCCGTTGGTTAAAAGGAGAGTGTCCTTGTCAAAAATCAGAGGCTCTTATCGAGTTGTTAAGAGCTTCTTGCGAGGGATGACCTAACCGCTTGTGCCATGTTTCTGCCGTAGTCCTGTGCCCTTTTGAACACAAGTACAAGTCGGAGTGAAGGAAGAAGGCCGGTAAAAGATGAATCGTTGGCGCACTGTTAATGCAGCAGCCAGTGCCGAAAGGCTGGATGAATCCGGCTTCTTCAGCAGTTTCAGCCCAAGGTATGCCGGGGTATTAGCAACGCACCCAAGAATCATGTACATGATCAATTCTTTCTTTCCCTATATACGTTCAACTTCCATAGGTTCTTCGACTGTAGCAGATGTTGTTTCTTGGTGAGCGTAACCCCAGCTGCCGTCTCCATATGCCCATGTAGCTTGACTTGTTTCTGCTATTGTTGATGCTGCTTCTATTATCTCTGCTGCAGATTCGTCGAGGGAGTTTGTTCGTGAAGGCTGAGGCATGATGCAGGATATGTTAAGGTCATGATGATCTTGGCGTTGGCGATCCGTCTCCCAGTGATGATGCCAAGGAGCGTGCGAAACATTCTTCTCACTGTCGCCAGGTGCTTTCACATGTGAGAAGCGTAAAACTGAAACGCCGTCTTTGATTTCCGCGATGCCGACCAAATTAATTTTGTCTTCCTTCTTGTCTCCCAGGTACAAGTCTGTGAGCGTCGTGTTGGTGGTGCTGATAAAAAAGATACCGTTTTCCATTAGCTGCGCTTGTGATAGCAAGTTGAAGCCAAGATCTTTGACGACGAGAACCTTGTTAAGGTGAAGTGAAACTCCCGTGTCGTCTGACTCCAGTATCACATCTCCAATTGCAGTTGCTTCAATTGTCTAATTGTTGGGCACGATGATGCTGTACTTTTCTCTTTCTGGAGATGCCCCACACTTTTGGGGATGGAACTCAAATCTGCAACCTGTTGAAATCCATCTACGTGATTAAGCAAGCCCCCTGTTCGTGGCAACAGCACCTTCATAAAATTATAACCACCCTAGATTTTTCACAGTTGCCCCATGACAGGGGGATGTACTGCCACAAATTTGGAGGCAATTAAATTCTCCTGGTCACCTATGTCGATGTCCTCCTGTACACGGGCTACAGCAATGAAGTTATCTCTTGCATGGAGAATCAGATCAACAGGTTCATCAAGGTCACTATTACCCAACATGTGACCTAATTTATGAGGCTAAACATTTCTCTCGGCTCGCACATGATATACCTCACCGCCAACAAGTATGTAGAGACACTTGCTAAGAAGTTCGGCATCGCCCCGTCAGAGTAACGACCCCATTTTGCCACCTTCCTCCTGGGTACGAGCCCAACACTACCCCCTTAACAGCAGGGAAATG